CCAACCAAAAAAAAGATAAAAAACAGCAAAAAGCAGGAGTTTTTGGACAGTAGGGGGAAGCTTTGTTCTCAGATAGGTAATCTGAGGAGTACTTATGAACCTTCATGATATCAGTGTTGACGGTAACAACTTTTACTCAGTTACTGACTGTAACTGCAACCTGTTATCTTTATGTGTAGGATGAAATTTAAGGTAGTGAAGTAAAAGATTTGTAGAGAACTTTGGAGAGATTGGTGCAGTTCATCTTGCTGTGGATGAGAGTGAGTTTGTAGGGATATTAGAAATGCATGTAAAGAAAATATGTGTTCTTTCACACTGCCAAGTTAATACACCTGACTTAGGCTACTTACTAAAATACACAACAGGGAGCCTTATTGCACAGCATATGTGAAAGGAGTTGTAGGCAGCGCATAGTCTGTAGAATAGCTTTGTAAGTGTTTTTTTCCGCAAGAGGATGTCCTCACTTGGCGGAGTATTGGACAGTTTACTTTTTGCCTTCACAGAACCAGACAGTGTCCTGGGCACAGACAGAGAGAATGCAACAAGTAATTTCTAACCTTGGGTCAATTTTACTATTTTTTCTTATCTCCCCATCTTCTCTGCTGGTGCCTCTTCTTACTGGCAGTCTTACTGTCAGTTCTGGGCCTGGCATAGAGTTAGAACTATGAGAATTGAGTCAGTTGCTTAGAGAGAAGAAAAGGCATTAAATGTAGCAAGATTAAGAGATATTACAACTTGAAGTTCAAGTTAATGTCGATGATGATTACAGGCCTAAATGTTCTACTCTCTTTTGAATATAGTAGTGCTTTTTGTAAAAACAAAGCAGTTCATGTTTTGCTGCTCCCTGTGTCTCATTCCTGGCTAGGGTTCCTTTGCTTGTTGATGTTCTACTTTGTTTTATAAATACTGATACTATAAATATATGGGGTAACATCACTCACTGAGGGATGAGAATGTTTGGAGACACATTGTAAAAAGAGAAGTACCATCACGTTGATATTCTTCCCTGGACACTTGCTACTGTAGTGACAACAGTTACCTGTCTTAACAAACCTTCTTACGTTGATTTCATTTTTCTGTTGGTTGGCTTGTTCTGCCACACAAAATGTTAATGTGACTTTTACTTACTTTCTTTTTGAATCTTTTGTAGCCAGTGCCCTCTAGGGAATTCTTTTCACCTCATTTTCTATTGCTTTACACTCTGCAAACTGTAAAGTTCAGTTTTTCTGCTGTTTTCATGCTATTTTTCCCCCTTTTCAGCCCTCTTGGTAGAATCTGTTTTCTGTGTTGTCTACCAAGGCACAGCTTGTAATTCCTCATTAAGGCACAAGGGCTGATGAAATTTTGAGTGGGCAGATAAGTAATGGAGCATTGTGGTTGTGTACGTTTAGTCTTTGTTCAACTCCACCCTGTCCTTTCCCTGTTTCTGTTGTCAATTCTTGTTATGTTTCACAATACATCTATTGTGTCAGTTCATCTGCTTCTTGCAGTTTTGCTTGTTTTTTGAAGTGCTTGTTGGAATTATTATTTACAAAAATTAGCTTGTACTTCAGTGAGACTTTAGCAGTAACAGCTAGTTTGGTTTGACTTGCTTTTCAGTGCTGAGTGAAAACAAAGATTGCTTGAAAATTATTTTATTTGTGATGATAATAAGGTGTCCTGTGACCAAAACTTGTTCATTTCTTGCTGCTGCAATAGCTATCAGTTGGCATCAGTAACATTGTGTGCTCTAGCAAAAAACATGCTCAAATGCATGTAGCTTTGCCTTTTAATTTGAGGTTGTTACAGATACTGGTGCCCCTCTATTTCTCTTATACTGATCAGGTACCAGAGTTATGCAGATTATTTTTAATGTGCTCAAGTTGATAATTTATTTGTTTTACAAAATCGGAGCTAACACGAAAGTACATTTTTCAAACTTTAAACTGTGTAAGCAACAAAATAATTTTCATTTATAAACTAGTAGGCTATTTTACTTATTGTTTCAAATGGCTGTAGGCAAACTGTGATATTAAAGATAGGTTATTTTGTTATAAATACACTTTACTTTTAATTGTATAGAAGTTACTGATTTTTGAAATTTTAATGAGAAAGTATTAAAATATACCTTTTCTCTGTAGTAAACTCATTACTTGAGGGTTTTTCTGTTCACACAAGAGATATAAGCTCATTTAATTTTATTATTTTTGTTATTGTTTTTATTACTATTTTCCTCAGACAAGACTTGAAAACCCTTGAACTCTGAGTTTTGCTGTCGCATTACTACTGGTGGGCAGTGTGCCAAACAGCGGCTCCCGTCAGCAGAAGAAGCCGTATCAGTTACTTGCACTAAATGACTGTGAACCTGTCGGGATTGCTGCCGTTAGGAATTGAACCTTAGACCTTTGCAGCTGAAAATCTGAGTTTTAGTGTCTGACTGCAAGTCACTGATTTGTTGATTCTAATTGTACAAATGCACATGCATGTGTGGACCTGCTATTCAGGTAGGAGGCAAAGAGCTGTGTAATGTAGGAGTTACACATTGCCTTCCTGGCTGGGAAACAACTTTTGAAACTACCCGAGCTTGCTGCTGCATAAATCTGTGTTCTGGCCACCTGTTGCAGTATAACTTGTCTACTTCAAACAAGTCACCTTGGATTACATTTTCATTCTTGTTTTCTTCTGCTTTGATCACTGAATAATTCACTTTGATTAGAGGCACATTGAAAAATGTCCGATTCTGATAATCTCAGGTTTGGCTTGCAGTTGCGTTATTGTTGAAGCAGCTCTTTACTGTGAGTGGAGGCATTAATTACAAACAGTACAAAATTACATGGTTTAATGTCTGCACGCTGTGTTTCCCAAGTGAATTTTCTTTACTGTGTAACTGTTGTTCCGTAGATGTTTTACTCGATTAATATGCTTTAGCAATTTTTTAACTGAACATGAATTTTTATGGACAGAGTAACAGTGTTGGATTCTGTAAAGAAAGTTCTTCCTTAGCGAGTTTTTTTAGAAGTATATCTTTGCCTTCTGGGAAATGAAATGAATGTACTTTTTATGGTTGCTATGGGTTTAGGATTTGGGGGTTTGGTTCTTTTTTTAGCTTTTTAAACATGTTTTTATTTGGGGAGAGGGTGCTTGGCTTTATGTGCTTGTTTGGATTAGGTTTTTTGTTGATTTTGGGGGGTGTGAGGTTTTTTGTGTGTTTTTTTGGGGAGTGTGGTTGTGGTTTTGTTTGTCTTTTTTTTTTAAAACTATGGGAATTTGAGACTTTGGAAGTATTTATCCTTATTTGTTGAAGTGTGATAAAAGCTTGACCCTTGTCACTATTTTAGCAATCACAGAGTGACTTTTATGAAACAACTTGATCATGTTGTTAACTTCCAGCAGCTCAGTTCACAAGTCCAGAGCATTATTTGCACAAAGCTAGCTGCCACATGTTATATTTAGCATCAGAATTATTAATAGGGAATAAAGGCAACAATACCAAGTATTTAAATAGTAGAACACCGAAAATATTGCTACTTTTCTGAATAAGAAGCTTTTTTTCACTTTTGGTGTAGTTAGTGTGTAGGAGATGTTGGGAAGATCATTGATTTCTTTTTTTCTTTAAATCAGTCTTCAATGTAGAACTGTAAAAATAGGTGCATAGGGCCAATTCATAGAATCTTTTTGAGGCGGAAGGGACCCGTAAAGGTCATCTAGTCCAACCTCCTTGCAGTGAGCAGGGAGGTCTTTGACTAGATCAGGTCGCTCAGAGCTCCATCAAGCCTGACCTTGAATGTCTCCAGGGATGGGGCTTCTACCGCCTTTCTGGGCAACCTGTTCCTGTGTTTCACCACCTCCATAGAAAAAAATTTCTTTCTCGAATCTAGTCTAAATCTACCCGCATTCACTTTGAAACCATTATCCCTTCTTCTATCACTGCACTCACTGATAAAGGGTCCCTCCCCATCTTTCCTGTAGGGCCATTCAGGTACCAGAAGGCTGCTGTAAGGTTTCTCTGGAGCCTTCTCTTCTCCAGGCTAAGCAGCCCCAACTCTCTCAGCTTGTCCTCACAGGGGAGGTGCTCCAGCCCCCTGAATCCATATTGCTTTTCAAGCAGATACTACTGTACATGGAGCATAGTTTATTTGCTGAATAAACTCATACAATACCTGCTAGAAGAAACATGGTATTACAAGAAGATAATATTGGACATTTTTGCTTAAGAATTCCTTTTTAAAAAAATATTAATCATACTCCTGGTAATTGTGTAGAAGGTTCCCCTAGGTGAAAGGAGCTTATGATAGGTTAGTGCTTTCTTTTTTAGTGTTGTTCAGTTGCCTCCAACTACTATGAAGCTCGTCAGGGCTAGTTTTCATTTAGTCTGAGGAGGCTTTAAATTTATACTCATAAACTTTTAGCTAGTCAGCTCTCTTTCTCCTCACCCTAGTAACAATATTCCTTATACAGTATTGGGTGTATGTAGCCATAGCTCCTAATGCTTCAGATTGATTAAAACATAAAGCAGAATCTTTGAAACAAGAAAAAGGGTTGTTACTTGTGTTCATTTTAGGTTTAAACTCACTTAAGAGACTCAAGCTTGTGAATGCATGTACTTCATCATCTTTCATTTTGTTAGAGTTGTGCACTTGTTACTGTAAAATTGGCCAGAATGATAGGATAGAAGCAACACAGCAAATCATATAAACACAAATTGTAGTTTTTACAACTGTTTTTGCAAATTTAGGTTAGTTTTAAGTTGAGGTTCCTGTGCTTTATTGGTTCAAAGCTTTTACTCGTTTTTCTTCTAAATACTTTTAAAAATGAATTAGTGATTTGTATAAACTGGAAAGATGGACAGGTTGGTCTTAGTTCATTGAACATCTAACTAATTTCAAGTTAGTTTTGTGTCCTTCAACTGATGCTTAAGAAAGTTAGTTGGCATTTTTATTAACAAAAATGAAAAATTTTGTGGTTTGTATACTAAAAGGTAATCAACTGCATTTTTTATTCTTCTGTGCTCATATTTTCAGATTACAACTGATGGAAAACCCAAGATAATTGATATAATTGATACAACAGGCAGTGGTGATGTAACTACGTGTACCGTTGTAGAACCTAAAGATGGGGAAATTATTGGTCTTTCTGGAAGAACTTTAAAGGTGAGTATTTGGTGTTACAGAGACACCACTGGGCATCTTTTTCTTTCTTTCTTTTTCAACAAGAAATTTAGCACCTATTTTGGTTTCTGCAGAACTTACTTCCTATTAACCGGATCTTATCCAAAACTGATACTGCATTTGCTCGTCTTCACACAGAGTGCTTGAAGTTTCTTTTATTTTTCATATGTCTTTGTATTTAATATTAAGTATAGCTGAATGGGGGTGTGTACAGAATTTTGTTGGGGGATTGATAATGATTTAATTATTTTTTGTTCAAATCATCATCTGATACAATTGTAGAAGTTAGCTGAAGAGAATTTGCTAACATGCTTTAGAAATATCAGACATGGTTCTGTCTTTAAAAGTGCTAGTGTTTTCCACATACGCATAAACTACAAGAGGAGTTGTGTTAAGCTTTTGTTAAATAGTTATAGAGACTGAAAACTGTGAGGACTTAGTTGTAGGCTCACTGCATTTTTGCTATGAATAGAACAGAAGTGGTGTAGGTTTTTATGAGATCTAGTAGAGGTCTCAGCTACACAAAACTGCTGGTGTTACTGACATGTTCTTGATTGACTGGTAAGATTGATGAGGTGAAATGGAGGCATCATATCTTAAGATCTCTAAACGCTGTCAGCTTTTTTCTGAATTCTGTGCAGAATGTGATTGTAAGGGTGAATCTGTTGCTCCCTAGGAGTACTGGATCTGGTATACTGAGAGTCTAAACTGCAGCAGTGTATGAAATTAGATATTTAGATGTTTGTTGTGATGTATAACCATAATACCCCTTCATGCTAGGATGCTTCTTCTAATTTATGGTGCTTTTATTTCCCCAGACTTCCACCCAGTAAAGTCACTGCTAGGTCTGTTTGTTTTAAAAGTAAAGTATCAAGGCAATTGATACTTAAAAGATGTTCAATGGCAGTATCGCATGGAACTGGACTGAAACTGTCATTTTTGAAACTTAGTGCAATCTTAGTGTCATGGAGACAAGGAATTAAATTGATGATATTTGCAAGTCTTTTCTGCTAAGCTCTCTTACACAGTGTTGATTTTTAACTTTTTTTTTTTTTTAATGCTATTAGTTAACCTATTGCTGAATACACTTTTCTGTAGATTCCAGCGAACTGGGTAAATCCTTCAGGCAGATACCACATTGGCATAAAAAATGGCTATGATATCTATCCTAAGGCTCTTAAGGAGAGGATTCAGGTAAGGAATTAAATTTTGCTTTTGGTGCACAGTCATACTTCACTGTTCTGACTCCTAAGTTTTCCTAGGAAACTACAGTAAGTGCTTTGCTAACATATGCAGGCTGCTAGCCACTACTTGAGAGCTACTCTTTCACTGATTTTACTTTAGTTTTGACATGATCCATTTCTTCTGTGATTTTTCAGAACAACAGGAGGTGTCCCAGTTATGCTACTCATAGTGGTCCATTGAGACAACAAGTCTAGAAATTACTGATACCATTTCTTTTTTGTGTGTAGTAATTGGTGTTTAGTGTTAGTATTGTATTGAACTTTTTTTAGCCATTGTGTCTCAAATCAGAATTTTCAAATTATTTTTGTAGTCTTCATGCTTGGACAAATGCATTTGTCAGTGTATTGAGGAAGACAGTTTTATTTTACAGAAAGAACGCAAGGAAAAGCTCTGGGATCCTGTTCACAGACTGGCTCTAGCAGAAGCCTGTAGGAAACAAGAAGAGTTTGATGCTGCTCATAGTTCTCCCTCCCAGGTTTGTATACGTAAATTTGTTGCTTTAAACAGTTTGTTACTACGAGAAGATTAAAATATTTTTAGATGAGTAGAAGAAAGATGCTTGTGTTTATGTTGGCAGATAACTTGCCAGTGTATCTTCTGATTAATTTAGAAAGTCTGTACATGGATGGTTGTTTGAATAGTGTCGTTAACTTTCTAAACTTGTCAAATATGAAAAAGATATTACTTAAGTACTCCATAGCATGTTTTTAGTTAGCTTTATTTTAATGTGCTCTTTTTTCCTGTATCATTTAACAATGTGTTAAAAAAAAAAAAAAGTTAAAATTACAGAATGGTAATGGTTATACGTTACATGGGCAAAAACAGTGAACTTCCAGGTGTTTGTGACTCCTAGGATAGTGTTACATTCTTGGCAAAGTAACGAAACAAATGTGTAACATCAGAAAGGAGTACAGCAATGCTTATCTTGTAATACTTTTAGAAATACTCTAACTGCCTTTTTGCTACCTTATTAGGTAAATAAGCTGATAAAGGAAGAACTTCAAAATCAAGTGGAACTGTTGAATTCTTTTGAGAAAAAATATACTGATCCTGGCCCGGTATATGATTGTCTAGTGTGGAATGATGGTGAGACCTGGAGGTAAATGCCTAAACTTGTCTAAAATGCCATATTTTACACATAAAACAACAGCTGACATTGAAGACTGTTAACTGTTAAATCTACTCTCTTTATAGAGACCTTAAATATTAATTTAATAATAATTCCAATCCTTAATGAAGATGGAGTAAAATAAAGTCTTGTTAAAGACAGCATGATATGAAGTGTAAGCTTGAGGGATTTTCCTCTGAAGAGTATCAGTTGGTGATAGGAAAAAAAAATAAAACAACTCAAACCAGAAGTCTTACACAAACTTTGGAATGTGATACGGTACTTTCTTGACCGATAATATGTATCATTACAAAACACTGGGCAGGACTTCAAATGTTTGTGTACCAGCACTGAACAGCTAGCTTCAGTAAAATATCTTCCCTGAAGAAATTGTCTGAATTTCCATATGCTTGCTTTTTGAAGACAGATTTATTTGAATTTAGTAGGATTTGAAAATCAGCTAATTTAGAGATCTTTGTAGTTTCTGAATCTAAGTGTAAACAACCAGATTTAAAAATATTGACTTAAAGAAGTAAGATACCATAAACACAGAACCAGACTTCTTGAGCTCTTGCTAGTACTGTCTGTGGGGGATAACCAAAAGTTTACAGCAGCTGAAAAACTGCCTTTTTTGTTTTTTGTCAACAGAGCCTGCATAGATACCAGTGAAAGTGGTGACTTAACTAGCTGTACAGTGCTGAGAACCTACAAAGAGGCTCAAGAATATGGATCTTTTGGAACATCTGAGATGTTGAATTATTCTGTGAATATATATGATGATGGAAACCTTCTTTCCATTGTGACAAGTGGAGGTAAATGAAAGGAGTCTTAAAGTTTCCCGCTGTCTGCTCAGCAGCAAAAGGAGCAATTTTTATTGGGACCTGATTCTGATACTTGGAATGGCTCAAGGCAACTCTCTTAATGCAGTGTACATGACTATGACAATCAAGATAAATATTCAGATTTCCTGAACTAAACTTAAAGTGACAGCTCGTCACCAAACTTCCTTGCACTTTTGTCTGAAATACTGTCGACTTGGTGCTCATATGCATGTATACGTGGAGAAGTTCCTGCATCTTAAAGTCTAAAATATAGAAAACATTCTTTCAAAGTATCTTTTTTGTTTTGTTTCTTAAGTATGAGGTGGTGATTGATTTTTAGTTGTTGTCCTTTGTGCTTGTTTAATTTAAGAATAAGACATCCATGAGTAAAAGGGATATTAATCTTTATTTTCATTTATCCAAACTCTGTTGTGATTGCAGATGTCACTTTAGCTGTTACTCCAACTACTCTGAACGCATATTTGTGTATTCTTTATATAATTGTTTTAGAAGCATCCTGAGTGGTTAAGGTCTATAATGTATTTGTTTTGAAAAATGTTCTTAATTTCTCATTAAACTATCCCATCTCAGTAGTACTACAGATGCAGTCTCGATTTCTAAATCGGTGATAAATTTGTTGAGAGAGATTCCTTTTTATATTTCTATGCAGTTTTATTTCCAATTTTTTCCTTAATCTCCACTATCTGAATCATCTGGGGTATAATTTTCACAACGCTGAGTAGGAAACATTGAGCCTTTTAAGTTATTTGTTAGTGGAATTAATACTTCTTTTCTCTCCCTCGCTGCCTCCGATCTCCCTTCAAAGAGCTTTTGGAGATTGCTACTCTTCGCTAGCATTTTTTGTTTGTTTTTTTTCCCCTTACTATAATGACATTTATATAATCAAGTGATTTGAATCCTGGGCTAATTTTAGAGAATCACAGAATCATTTATGTTGGAAAAGACCTTTAAGATCACGTCCAACCAGTAAACTAATGCTGCCAAGTTCATCCCTGAGTTATGTCCCATGTCACTCAATAAGTTAAAATTAATTGAGCTGTAATGTGTTAAAATGGTATAAAAAAAGTTCACTAAACATAGTGATAAAACTTTTCATTTGTTCAGGAGCACATGGAACACATGTGGCCAGTATTGCAGCTGGATACTTTCCAGAAGAACCAGAACGAAATGGTGTGGCTCCTGGAGCTCAGATTCTTGCAATCAAGATTGGCGATACGAGACTAAGTACAATGGAAACTGGCACTGGTCTAATAAGAGCTGTGGGTATTTCATGGGATAAACACTTGATCTCAGCAGTGTGACCTAACTGTAGGATCTTGTGAAACACTTCCTGCTCTACTTGCTTATAGGCTGTGTTTTTATGGCTCTAGTATATTTCCAAGAACAAAAAAACCACCCAAACACCCCCATAAAAAAATTAATATCCAAAACCAGACAAAACCAAACTAAAGAGAAAGCACAAAACAAGCCAGAACATATTTTAAAACCTAAGACTAACGTTTTAATATAAAACAAGACTTCTGTTGCATAGAGCACTTAAGATTTTTCAGACTGCAAGAGCTGCAATGTGTGACTAACACCAGGGGTGTTACTTGTACGCTTACTTAAAAGTTTCTTATTCTGTTGTGAGCATTACTTAGATAGGTAGAGAATACTTAAATAAATCTACTGCTCATGTGACTCAATTTGAGAGGAAAAACATTATTTTTTAATGATTTCTCTTCTACATAGTTATTGGGAAACATTTTACACAAGAGAAGGAACTGAAAATAAATATTTGTGGTCCATAGAGTATCTTGCTATAGCAACCTGAAGATGTACAATAATGTTTTTGTGGCTTTTTGGAATTTAACCAAACTGCCCAGGAAAGGAGAATTTTATGTTTTTGAGGACAGATATTTGAGACAATACGAATGATGTCTGCAGTTTTCTCTTAAGGTAATGATTTCAATTTTAGCTTGGAGTATGGCAAAAATAAGAGTGTTCAGGGAGTGCAGCGGTGTGGTTTTTTAATTTTATTCTGTTAGTTAAATGGGAAAATACCACTTAACCGATTGAAGTAAGTTAGATTTACTTTTTTTTTTTTGTAGAGTCAAAGGAAATCTATCCCTTTACTTAGATCTATTTTGCCATTCCATAAGTGACTTATTCTATAATTAGCATGTATTTTGATTTTTATTTTTACTTTATCAGATGATAGAAGCAATAAAATACAAATGTGATCTTGTCAACTATAGCTATGGAGAGGCAACACATTGGCCAAATTCTGGGTGAGTACTACTGTAGTTAATTTATATTATTTTAGCGGAATTAGATTTGATGAGCTTGGTGTAAATGAACTGCCAGTAAGAATGAATTGTTCAGGCCTAGATGATTCATATACCTTCAACTGTTGCAGTTTACATTTTCAACTATCTTTAAATTTAAATAAACCTATCAAAAGTGCTGTCGATTTATAATACAAAGAATATTTTAAAATAATAAAGCATTTTTGTAGTTGGAACACTGCATAATCTGAGGGATTTGTTTTGAAGACCTACTATTGCTACATAATGGTTACTCCTTTCTAAAACCAGAAGGTATTTTTTATTGTGGTCACCTTCTCTACTGGAACTGCATCTGCTAGATGTGGGAGGCAGGCTTAATCATATTCCTTTTTCTGTTACTGGTGACAAAGTTTCTACTAAAAATGGGAGTTTTGCCCCGTGGGAAAAAAACAATATTGTGTTTTACATGGCCTTTTTTTTTTCTTTTCTCTTACATCAGGAGAATTTGTGAAGTAATTAATGAAGCAGTGTGGAAACACAATGTAATCTATGTTTCGAGTGCAGGAAATAATGGTCCTTGCCTTTCTACAGTAGGATGTCCTGGTGGAACTACATCTAGTGTAATAGGTAAATAATTTGTTTCAAGAAAAAATTTCTACAGTATTCAGCTTCTGGCTTTTCAAGCATTGTACTTTTGTTACATGTTTAAGATCACTGGTTGATTGCTGAACTAAATCTAAAAAAAATATCAAAGACTACTGGGCTACAAGTTTAATTCTGAGGAAGGCCCTTGTATGCTTAGGTATAAAAATTTGAATTGTTACTTCCTTACAATTCAAGACCTTACTTATGTAGAAAACAGAGGTAGGAGACATTCTTGATTTGATGTGACTTTGTATAAAACTTGCGAAAGAAATCTTTTCATCTGACCTAGTTGAAGATTCAGAGATTTTAATTTTTTTTTAGCTGCAACTATCTGAGCACACCACTTCACTAAGACAATTAGCTGCTGGTAAATGCAACTTGTAAAAAATATAAGCAAATTGGATTCTAATTAGTCTTCTGCAAAGTCTTCCAATGCGTTCTAAATTGTCAGAACCACAGTTGCAGATCATCTGTCTTCACCAGATACTCTAATTCCCATGTGTAGTGAAACAAAGCTTTTTAATTTATATATAAAATAATCCCATGATGTGAGCTAGATGAGTCCAGTTAATGAAATGGAAACTGTCTGTTTCCTTTTTTGTCAAGCAAAAATTCTTCTTGTAATGAATTTAAAACATGGAAATAATTTATTTTTACTTTCTAAAAAATTCATTGCTCATCTGAAATGCTTTTTTTACAGGTGTTGGTGCCTATGTATCGCCTGACATGATGGTTGCTGAATACTCTTTAAGAGAAAAGCTGCCAGCAAATCAATACACTTGGTCATCCAGAGGACCTAGGTAGGTTATACTAAAAGAAAAAAAGTCTTATCTTTGAGGCTCAGATTATGTATTTCAAAATCTGGAAGTTATTAACATGAGAGTAAAAGTATTTGTTTCCCATGGGAAGACTGTAGGTAGCCTCCTGTTCTTGGAAGGCCTTTGTGTGTCATGCTTTAGAACTCCTGGGGTAGGGGGAAGACCACTGAACTGCCTCAGCACAATATGTACATTTCAGGAAAATATATTTGATTAGTGCAGACCTATTCAGAGATGTTAAAAATTGATGAAAAGTTGTTTGGAAATCTGTTCTTTTTCTGAAACTTATTTTTTCCATAGCATTTTTTTTTCATTAAGTTAGTGTGGTGAAGTTAATTGTTCTGATTTTTTGAAGATTAAAAAAAATACTCTTACTGCTGTTGCTTAACTTCTGACTTCAGTGACATTGCTGCGATGGCACAACTTATTCCAAGGTTTTGCCTGAGTCCAGTAGTGATATGAATAGCAGTAAAAAAAATGCTTTTCTGTCTCATGAGATAATTTTCTATCTCAAAGATCTATAAAAGAAAGTTTAGAGTCAAAGAAAACTTCAGTTTTTATTTCATGCCTCAGAAGCATTTGGTAGTAATGTAATAGACAAAAGAAGAAAAAAATAATAGCATCTCTCATGAGTGCTAGACTTTGGAGTTGTTCTTGCAAGTCATGGAGTTACTGTATGCCATCTTTTGTAGGTTAGCCTACAGTTGGGTGTATTGGGTGAGGGAAAATTTAAAAAACATAGTTTGAGATTGGTCTTTGGTTTATTTGCTATTTACATGGTAAATGCTTTCCGGTTAGCATTGATCTATAAAGTTAGCTGTCATGGTGTTTGTGTTTTTACAGGTTAAGTATATTGTTCCAAAAACCTTGTTATGTAAAATTGTGATGTTTCATATAGGAGAAATAAAATGTGGTCTCTACCTTCAGCTGAGAAAAGGAGAAAGATTTGTATTTGTTAGTGATACACACAGACACACACACACACACACACA